TATGAATTTTTCACAAACCTAAGAATAAATGTTGATAAACCATAATATAATCATTAGTCTGTTGGACACAAGTAGCAATAATCAATCAAGAATTACATGAATATTTAAAAAATCTCATACCGATGTTGCACCCCATGACATAGCTATCAACATCACTATATTTGGATTGCTGTCAATATGATCCTTAGGAATGCACATCTTAGCCATCACCAATCCTTAGTAAGCAGTGTTGTGTTGAACATTCATTTAATCTAACACGTGCTTTAGCATAACGTAATTCCTAAAGTCAATGATAGAATTAAAATTACTCCACTACTTACAATAGTTACGTACTATGGCATTCCTGAGACTCAATGCAATGTAGCCAATCTTCTGATTCAATAAATACAAAATCTTCTATCCGTTAGGAACCCTAAGGCTCATAGAAAGCATAACCTGGCATTGTCATATCATTGCATAAATCCTAGAAATCAAATACAATTTAACCTACCCTAAACCACCTGACACTACTATCTCTATTTACCGATCATTCATACCACATTTTATATAGTGAGATGTGCAAGCTAAAAATGAGATTACTCCTAGGATAAGTAAACTGAGAATTTTGCATGGCTGGAGCTAAAAGTTGATGGGCATATTTAGTAAAAGATTGATCGATTGGAGCAGCTATAACGTCAACAAGATGAGGACTAAGTCTAGTTTCAGGATCAATTATTCATGTTCCACAGCTATTTTCGCCACCATCACCACCACCACCACCAAACCAAGGACTGTCCAAGTATTGGCTTTGTTTTGTATGCTTGTTGTCTTTTTTTAAGTAGGTTTGTTTACTCTCTTTTTTGAGATATTAAAAGGGGGAGTAATGTGTATTTGCTTGCATGCTTGTACTTGTATTTATGTCAGCATTCGGTATATTTGTACCTGTGTTTAATATATTTGTATTAATATTTGAACCACTTTTTGTACTTGTACTAGTTTTTATGTACTTTTTTTTTATTAAAAATTAAAAATCATACTTTTCTCACAAATTAAATTTTTATTATCTATATTTTTAACAGCATATTATTATGAGGTATAAATTAAAGGAGAGAACTACTTATAAAATTAAAAAAATTTACATAAGGTATTTTATTTTACAAACTCTTTCAATTTAATATACTTAACTAAAAATGTTCAACATCATGAGCCTAATAAACTCATTTAATTTTTAATGAGTATAAATATTATTGACTATTTTGATTTTTTACAAATGAATTTGTATGTACAAACCTTTTAATTATATTAATATTGAGGTTAAATAAGAAGAGAATGTGAAGTAATACTGGACATACAACTTGGATGTCAATCACATATTAGTGGAGGTGCACTCAACCTAAGCTAAAGTAGTGAAGCCATCAAGAAAAAAGAAGACTGGTAAAGACTTAAATACTTGTATGTTTCATTTTATGAAACCATCTTGCATGTGTCAAGCAAATGATTCATGAAACACCAAGAAAACACAAAAGATAAATTAAATTTATTTTCCTCTTAAAAAATAGTAATTAAAACAACTTGATTAATGAAAAATCGTATTGTATGATTTTTATCATACTGTACAATATTATACTATTTTTTAGAATTTCTAAGAAATTAAGTCATTTTTTTTAATAAAATTTTCAAAATTAAAAGTGTAGATCTAATTATACGATACCAATTGAACCGTACAATCAGTAATCAAATTAAATAACCTAAATTTATTATTACATATGCAATTTACCTAAATTAAGGTCCAAGAACCTAGGAACATATAAAAAATTGGATTCAATTTTTTCATGTACAAACATAATTGTACAAAAGAGGGAGAAAGATATATGTATAAGTTAGCCAAACAAAGAGATAGGAGTAGTAAGGATTTAGTTCAAGTGAAGTGTATTAAAGATGAAGATCAAAAAATACTTTTCTTAGAAGATGATATTCAACAAAGATGGATGAGATATTTTGCTAAACTTTTTAATGAAGATTATGAATATAAGATTGACTATAATGACCTCAGTACCCTAAATGAAAATAAAGATTTATGTTTTTATCGGCGTATTAGTAAAACTGAAGTTAGAGAGGCTTTAAAAAAAATGAAGGGTGGAAAAGCTGTTGGACCTGATGATATTCCAATAGAGGTGTGGAAATGCTTAGGAGATGAAGGAATTTCATGGCTTACTAAACTTTTTAATACTATTTTGAAGACTAAGAAGATGCCAGATGAGTGGAGAATGAGTGTGTTAATTCCTATTTTTAAGAATAAAGGTGAATGCTACAAGATTGTGCGAATTATAGAGGTATTAAGTTTAATGTGTCATACTTTAAAACTATGGGAGCGAGTTATGGAGCATTGTTGCGGCGTGATACTAATGTTTCTCAAATCAATTTGGATTCATGCCGGGTAGGTCGACTATGGAAGCCATACATTTATTAAGAGGTTTGATGGAGAAATATAGAGAAAATAAGGGGGATCTACATTTGATATTTATTGATTTAGAAAAAGCATATGAATAAGTTCCAAGAGAAGTGCTATGGAGAGTTCTTGAAAAAAGAAGGAGTCAATAATGCTTATATTCAAATCAATTAAAGATATGTATGCAGGAGCTATTACTTGTGTTCAAACACAAGTGGATTGACCAAGTATTTTCCTATTTCGGTTGGGTTACATCAAGGATCAGCCTTAAGCCCATATCTTTTTGCTTTAGTCATGGATGTTCTCACTAGACATTTGCAAGAGGATGTACCTTGGTGTATGCTTTTGCTGATGATATTCTTCTTGTTGATAAGACTAGAGAGGGAGTTGAAGGTAAACTTGAATTATGGAGGTCAACCTTAGAGTCTAAAGGTTTCGCTTGAGTAGATCTAAAAGGAATTATATGGAGTGTAATTTTAGTAGTAATAGACCTAGTGAGGGATTGTGACTTTGGGGCGTCAAGTCATTAATAAGAGTAACACGTTTTAGATATCTTGGATCTATTGTTCAGAGTGATGGTGAAATAGATGGGGATATTATCAGCAGAATACAAGTGGAAGGTTGAAGTGGAGGAATGCATCGGGCTTGTTATGTGATAGAAATGTACCTCAAACTTAAGGGAAAATTCTATAAGATGGTAGTGAGGCCTGCAATGCTTTACGGTGCCGAATGTTGGCCTTTAAAAGAGAAGCATAATACTAAGTTAAGTGTGGCAGAGATGAGGATGCTCAGGTGGATGAGTGGCTTTACCCTTAGAGATAGGATACGAAATGAGCATATACGTGAAAAGGTTGGAGTTTAGCTGCCAGTAGAAGATAAGATTAGAGAGAGTTTCCTTAGATGGTTTGGTCACATAAAATAGCGGCCTTCTGATGACCTGGTTAGGAGAGTAGAGGTATTAGATTTGACTTATGTTAAGAAAGGTAGGGGTAGACCTAAAAAGACTTGGTTAGAAAATATTAGGAATGACCTTTCTTTATTAGATTTAAACGAGAATTTGACTTTTAATAGGACACAATGGAGAAAAAGGATTCATGTAGCCGACCCCAAGTAGTGGGATAAAGGCTTGATGTTGTTGTTGTTGTTGTAAACATAATTGTACAAGCCGATCATATAGAAAAAATAGTGTTTTCTAGAGTTAGCTAAATGTATTAATTGTACTGTACAATATCAATTGCACAGTCCGATCAAATAGATGGACAATGAATGGAGTAGTACTCAAATCGGGATCACTTGCTTGACCACTTGCATATCTATCCACTTGCTTATTCATTCAAAAACCTTCTAAGACTTTACCTACCATCAAATGTAAGAATATTATTTTGAGCTTGATGATAATTACAATGCATTTGTCTAAAATCATAACTTATCCCATCCAATTTAAATTGCATCATTTATTAATTACATTTTTGGCTCAATACTAAGCCCAATATTTAGTCAACATGATGAAAAAAACCTAAAACTCGAATACCAATTTGATGTAGGAAAATTCAGGATAAGAGTTTTCTAATGCAACTGAAAAGATGGAATGAACATAAATAATGCAAAGGAAATTATAGCTATTAGATTAGTGGATACCACTTATCCCTGGGGTTTTGCTCTTGAACGAGGCCAGATGTGTAGGATTTTAACCTCTTGAACAGAAACTATAGCAATCCACTAGATGCATTAAAAGTTTTATTTCTTTAGATGTAGAAAATAAATACAATAATTAGAACCTAAATTAAAAATAATAAAATATATCCAAAAATAAGCAGAAAATTTAAACAATATAAAACAGAGTACAATTATAATTTAACTAGAGTATAATAATAATTTAGTTATCACAAACAAAGTTTCAATTATTTAAAATTCAAAATTAGAAGAATTAACAAGTCAAAAACAAAATATGCAGAAGAAATTAAGTCAATCAAAGAATTATCAAAGTAAAAAATACAGATCTTATGCTGGTGCAAAGAGATGACTTTCCCTCAAATTAAGTAGTCATACTTGTATCATACTCGAAGAAAAAAGACATACAAATTGCACACAAAAGATTGAACACTAGATGATTTTATTAATCCAAATTCATAAGTTGCATGTCTAAGAACATCTACTTCTAGACGACTCATTCTTAAATCAGTAGATTTAGTTAACACAAAGTCAGTCCTGTATGATTCCCTAACCATCAAATTCATACTTCAACCTTATTCAAAAATAAAAAAATTTAAACAGCCTCAAAAAATCATCTATTGCACGTAGGTACAGTAGGCGCTCGGTGGTAAAACTCTTGAACAACAAATCCAAAAAATAAGGCACCAGCAGGAATTCCGCAACTGTAACTGCACAAGATGAATCCCAGAAAAACACATGCAAAGTTACAGCCCTGGGAAAAAGAGAAGCCGCACATAGCAGCTACAGTCCCGCTTAACAGTCTCTTAACAATTAGCTTGCAGTTCAATGAAACTTTATTATAAGATAATGAATGGAAACAGATGACGGTTAGGATTAAGAGTCAAAGAGGTAATATTACCTTTCCCAGAAATTGATGCTAGAGATGCAAGACTACCACATGATGTTGCCTTTGCACCACACGAATCAATAACTGCTTGTGAAAGCTCCAGAACACTGGTTGAAACCTTGATATAAGGAACGCCATTCTGCTCCACAGATATATAGTGAAAGAGCTTAGTAACTTTAGCAGAGAATGGAAGCTTCAATGCATGAAATAATTAAGCATGTTATTCTAAGAACAAAGTTCATGAAATAAATTTATTTTATACAATGTAATACCTTACTTGAGAACGGGATGCTGATCTCTGGAGGGGGGTAAGGCAGTGCTGCGGTTTCTTTCCTACATTTTCCGTTACTTGATAGATCCATGAACTGTTTCTCGTCACTATCTTCAGGGGAAAAGGTAGACACATTAACTTTTACAGCTGACGCCTCCAACCTACATCATCAGAAACAATAAGGGTTTAAGAGTAAGATATAACCATAAAACAAGAGAGGTTAAGGACTACGGAGTTAGTTAATGATGACCTTTCACTCACATGTAAGAAACAACAAAATAAGAAACAGGTAGTACACTATAAGATGCAGCAGCATGAATGAAAGATAATTCACCTGATGATAGATTCTAAATTTTAAATTATTGCTAGGTACTAGAAATCACGTCGGCAAGAGAAAAATTTTCATTGCACCAGCTACATCACTACAAGAATACGGGGAAATTCCGATGGATTTATCACCGGAAAAAGAGGAAAATCCGCCGCAAGTACACATTTCCGGCGGATTTCCAACCGTTTTCATTTTGTCGGTAAAACTCGCATTAAAAAGAGATTTGCATCAGATTTTGTCGGAGATGCTACCGATAGATTTCTGGTGGATATTCAAACGTCTTTCGTCGTTTTATATCTTCGGATTTTGAACTGAATTTCCACAGGAAATACCAGCAAAATTGTGAGGAATTATTCGTTGGAATTACCAGCAAAATATTCCGCCAGTAATTCAGCCGACAGTGAAGAATTCGACCCAAAATTTTGTCGGGTAAATTTCCGACGGTAAATCCGCAGGAAACCTATAGCCCAGACAAAAAAAAAACTCCTTCACATTAATTCTCCTACAATAACCCACAAAAAATGTATAATTCGCAGAAATGAACTCAACAAGCAAAATAGATAAACATAAATCCCACAATAACATCATTCTAAATGCATTAAACGATAGTCAAACATTGTGGTGTACAAACGATAGTCAAAATATATTAGTTCATACCTATGATGCACCGACACGGACACGGTGACACGGACACGACATTTTTTAAAAATATAGGACACGGATGCGGCGTGGACACGGCATAATGATTTTTTTAAATAATATATAGAAATTATATTATATATTAAAAAATGCAAGCAATATTATATTAAAAAATGCAAGCAATATTAAATCAAAGTAATGATAACTTGTTTATCTTATAACATAAAGATGTTTAGTACAAAAATGTCTAGTACAACCACAAAAATATAAACAAAAAATTATTTAGTACAACATGAAGGTCTAACTACTCAATAGAGGGAATGATAGAATTATATTCAGATATTGGTCTTTGGCCTTCAATATCATCATCATTTAATATCATTGCTTCCAACTCTGGTTCATCTAGAGAAAGATTTGCAACCTCCAATAACCCCATATCATCAAGGAACTCGAACCCATCTCGAATAACATCCCACATCTTGTTATCACCTGTCATATAAAGTGGAGTTTTAGTTGATAGAAGACGAAGATTTGTATGCACATAAACTAAATCTTCAACCCGTTGTGGAGTTATTTTATTCCTTTTCATTATTTGAATAAATGAGTATGTGCTCCAATTTCTCTCACAACAGGAAGAGGATGATATTTGACCAAGAAGTTTTATTGCTATGGTTTGAAGAAGCGTTGCTGAAGCTCCATGAATCAACCACCAAATTTTTAGATCCATCATCCATCTATCAACCAAAGATTCTTAATCACCATAATCCTCTAAATATCCAAAGAACTTTGCAAGTTCAATATTAATTTTTCTTCTCTCCTCCTCATTTGGGAAATATCGTTTCAAGCATATCTTTCTCATATTTGAAACTTCTAAATCTTTGTGGTGAGACACGTTGAGGGTCTTTTTGAAACCATTCTTTACTTGAATACCTTTAAATAATACAAAGCATATAAAATTATATAATCATTTACCAAGAAATTTAAAATTAATTTAAAAGATGAATACAAATATGCCTTGGATTTAATGAGTGGGCCAAACAATGCAGAGGTGTGTTGCTTTTAGTCCACCTATCCTCAAGAATGATATAGACAATACTCCAAAAACTCGAGTTTTCATTATGTGACTTTCTTTCATGTCTGTATATAATTTCTTTTACTTTTGTCAACATAGAGTTCCACATCTCATAAATCAAATATAGACATGATTTATCTGTGTCAGCCTCTCAACATGTCATAAATCGGATCAGTGGAAGCAAAAATGTAATCTATATCATCCCACCACAAATCATCTAAGACCTTTTCTTTCACATGTCTTGCCTTCCCAACATCATCTTCGATAGCAAGACCACTTCTCACTAATTACAATAGATTGAAGGGCATTTTTTATTTGAATCTTCTCAACAGAATTATTATAGAGGCAAAACGAGTTTCAACAATAGCTAACATTCTCAAATGTGAGAAATCATTAATATTGAAAGTCTCATTGAGTGGTTCATAATGAAATTTCTGATCAAAACAACATCATATGCAACCACTATTGTCCAATGATATTCAGCATAGATGATTTCCTTTGCCTCTATATTCTTTGCTGCACAAATATTTTTTTAAAGCAATATTTAAAGTGTGCACAACACATAGAGTCCATAATATATGAGGATAAGTTTGCTCCACCAACAATCCTACAGCTCTACACACCGGTTATAACCTGCACAACATTTGAAGATCCAATAATGACTATCACCTCTTTAATCAAATTGGCAATGAAATATTTATCCATGTATTCTCATTCTGAATTCACAGCTTTAATAAACATTGGGCAATTCTTTGTAACGGCCATGAAATTAATGAGTGGTCATGTTTGAGGATCAGTCCAACTATCACACATCAAAGTAACTACTTTTTCTTTCCACACACCTTTTGTTGGTTTAAGCAATGTTTTAATATGTGCTCTTTCCCTTTCCAATAATTTTGATCTTAATGCATTTTAGCCAGGTGAAACATAACTTGTAAGGCTGTTATTACATTCAAAAGTGAATGCATTTTTGTAATGAGAATTTCTTGCAAGGTTGAAAGGAAGTCCAGCTGAAAAAAAAAACATCCTTGCAATTTCACCATCAATTCTTCTCGCAGCTGCATGTTAAAAGCCTTCTCTAAAGCACTACTGGCAACTCCTTTTCTTTTCTTTCAATCATATCCTTCACTTCTATATGATAATGAATAATCAAATCTAACAGATGAGGAAGAAGTGTGGGATGAACCATGGGTAGATGACAAAGATATCTCTTTAGGAAGTGCCCTTTTGATCCTAGATTCTGCTTCATCAACTTGTCTATTCAATTCAATCAACTGTGACGTAGTAATCTTAGGACACATTTTAATTCCATGGCCACAAATCTTAAGAAGATGTGCTTTCACCCTAAAATAAGATCCTTCGTAGGTGCCACCACAATAATTGCATTTAAATGACACATTCCCTCCTCCAAAAGCTTTTCCTAACTTTATAACATGAATCCATAATGGCTTAGAGATTTCTACATATGGCTCTTTAGAACCACTCCCACCAGCACTAGAGCTCATTTTGCTTTTAAAAATCACTGGTGAAGTAGAAGAAATAAAAACTTATTGTAAAACAATTAAAAATTGCCAAACAAAGTTAAAAAATAATTAAAGAACTATTGCATCATGTGTTATGACTATCTGAATAAAAAACAATTGAAATTTGCAACTATGCCGAGGGTCCAAGGGGGCGCTACCCCCTGGCGGGGTAACATGAATCCATAATGGCTTATCAAATTTTTATCATAAGACAAAGCGTTGTGAAAGCGCAACAAAAGCACAGTTAAAGCGCAACAAAAGCACAGTTAAAGCGCAACAAAATCGCAGTTTAAGTGCAACAAAAGCACAGTTAAAGCGCACTTAAAACACAATTAAATCGCAACAAAAACACAGTTAAAGTGCATTAAATAAATAAATTTTTATTGTAAGAATAATTTTAATCCAAAACAAATAATATATTTTTTTAAAAAATATGCTCTTCTAATCACAAATATACAAAATCATTGATAAATGAAGAGAAATGACGAATGGAGAAAAAAATAACGAAATCAACTTACAGGTTAGAAAAATTTTCTGCGGTTTGGCGTCGAGCTCCCTTAGCTACGCCAGAAACTAAGGAGGATGGCTTCTTGCTTACGGTCTTAAGGGAAGACCAAGGGTGCGATCTCCAACCGACCGCTGCTCGCCTCAATCGCCCGGGAAGACCACGAATATGAATAGGAATACGGAGTTAAGGAGAAGATGAAGACTCGGGCGTGAACCGGCTAATATGAAATAGCGGGATTAGAATTTTTTATTTATTTAATTATATAATAGACGAACACGCGTGTCAGACACGCGTGTCTGGTTTAATTGTTTTTTTAATGGGACACACTGGTGACGTGTCCGACACGTGTCCGACATTGCATACCCTCTTAAAACAAAGTGTCGGTGCATCAGAGGTTCATACACATAATCAAAAACCAATAAAAATACAAGCATCCACACTTTAATCCTTTTCTATCCCCTCACTCTCCTAGTATGGATGTGCAGGCTTCATTTCATGAAACTACCCCATGAATCTGGGCAGCACATCGAGCATTTGCATATCAACTTGCAATTTTCGCACTTGCTCTAGTTCCACAGTCAGAGCAAACACATTTTGGCTAACTAACTCCGAGCTACTCTTTGAGGAGCCTAATGCGCCAGACAACTATCCCTCAAATGCATAGGCTTGCAAGCCTAATTCATAACCTCTGCACTTCTGCATTATGCCAACCACATATGACCATATACTATAGTCTGAATAATCCATCGATCCAATAAAGGATCTCTCACGAACTACAGCCTGACTCTCTCTAAGTCATATATAGTTCTCTAGAAAAATATAAGATAAATATAACAATTATATCTATGTCACTTAAACATTCTTATTATTATTGCATGTTTCAATAATCACAAAGGCCTTTCTCACTCGCTGATCCTCGCACTGTAGGTCCTCCTGGCATTAGTGGGTGCAAGTGTGCAACTCAACAACAGTGGGTTCCCTACCCAAAACTTTTTTCTATAACAAAATTTGGTAAGTATGAATAAGCACGAAATTATTTAAATATGAGATCATATAAACTATGTAAACATACATCATCTATGCTAAGTGTG